AAAGCACCTCTGAAAGCTAGGGTGAGAAAGATCAGGCCCAGCACACTGCTGTGGTGGGTGCCGGGACTGCCGAGGAAACAGGCCCTAACTGAACAGCAGCAAAGCTGGCTCCACTGTCTTTGTTTTTAACTCATATGGTTATTGGTTTTGTTTTTTATTATTTCCTTTAGTTTTGAGATTATAATATAGTTACATCATTTCTCCTTTCCCTTCCCTCCATCCATACCCTCCCATATACCTCTTCCTGCCCTTTTCAAATTCAAGATCTCTTTTCTCATTGGTTGCTGTTACACACGCTTATGTATATGTATACACATATGTATTCCTAAAGATAATCTGTTCAGTCTGTATAATGTTATGTGTACGTATGTTTTCAGAGCTGACCATTTGGTATTGGATAACCAACTGGTGTGTTCCTCCCTGGAGAAGATGATTTCTTCCACTCACAGAATTCCTTAGCTGCCTGTTAGTTGAAGCCTGGTGCTCTTCCCCCATCCACTTTGGCATATCTGTTATTGTCCTTGGATGGAGTTTTACTAAAGCCACAGGAATGCCAGCCCAGCTAGACAATGGCATTCAGTAAATACTAGAAAAAACAAAGTAGAATTCTAGGCAAAAACTAGAGGATGACTGACATGATTTTATATTATCTATTAGGTTTTTGTCAACTTGTCATGAGTCAGTTATCTGGGAAGAGAGAACTTCAACTGAGGAACTGCTTCCATCACACTTGCTGAAGGAAGTCTGTGTAGGCATTTTCCTGATTAATGATTGACGTGCGAGGATCAGAGCTACTGTAGGTTGTGCCAACCCTGGGCAGATAGATGATCCTGGGTTTTATAAGAAAACACGCTGAGCAATCCACGGAGAGCAAGCTAGTAAACAGCACTCCTTGGATAATCTGTAAGCTGAAATGAACCCTTTCCTCTCTAAGCTGTTTTCAGTCTTGGTGTTTATCATAGCGGCAGAAATCAACCATGACAATCGTTTCTCCCCATGCAGTAACCACCTCGAGCTAGGGATGTTGTACAAAGTGGCCCCTCTGTCTCCAGCCACTGAAATTCCTGATGAGCCCCAATCCACAATAGGCCTTCCCCTTCCCTCTTCGCTTCTTTCTGGGAATACCCGTTCATCACCACCCTATCCTCACTCCTATAGTACATAGGAGAAGGGGTGGCACATTCAGAACCTGGTAAGCTAGAACTTTTTATTCTTTCTGAATAAACTTCTTTCTAGAGGCAAGACTCCAAGGTTCTGGCCTAAGATGCTGGACCTGTGTCTCCAAGTCCTACCCCTTAGCCTACTGGGGATGAGTAGTGTTTTGATATCACAGTAAGTTAGTTTTCTGCTTTTATTTCTGCTTCTGTAGACCCATCCCATGTCTCTCTTGAGTATTAGAAATCTGGTCTGAAGTCCCTGATCCCACCATGCAATGTCTTCAAGTCAGAAAGCAAAAAGGTCCTGGGAAGGTATTTATGAGCTGGACTTTGCCCTGACCTGGTCACCTACTTAAGCACAATATTTAGGCCTTTGGTCTCATTGGTTCCTTATGGCTTTGCCTTGGTGAGTAGATTCAAGGTCCTCGCAGGGCCGGTTTTCATCCCAGACCAGTTCTGAGCCTTGTGTTGTGGAAGCCAACATCTACGCCCCATGTCATGGGCTAAACAGAATGAATACACCGGCTCCCTTTCTGCGGGGCTTCCCTTGATTTTGGACCTGAGACATCAAAGACTGTTCCTGGGCACAACCCCTTTTGTGGTTCCATAATCGTAGAGCACACACGATTGCCCTACTGGCTAGATCCTTCGGGGAGGAAGAAAAGGCCTGCTGTAGGTACTACCATCGGTTCCTATGGAGCAAAGTGTCAGACAGACAACACTGTCTGATCTTGGCTTTTGGGAAAGGACAAACACAGAGGAAACAGAGATTAGATGAAGTCACCAATTAGTAAATTCAGAGTCGGGCTCTGTGACAGATGGCCCAGCCACCAGTCTTGAATGTGATTGTAATTCTGGCCCTCTGCTCAGTCATTCTGCCAGTCACTCGGAACTGATCCAGTCCACTGACTCTGCCATGTGCTCTCCCCAAACAACCTCAGATGATCAGAGGTGACAGTGCTGCTGTTCTCTGCTGAGGGACAAGGGTCAGGGATAGTGAGGTAGGACCCAAGGCAGGGGCCTGGGAGCGCCTCCATGCAGCTGAGCAGTCAGAGCCTGACATTTCTATTGGGTGTGGCCACTCATAAATGTCAGTCTGAGACAAAGGCCAGGAGCAGCAGCTGCAGACAGCAGGGCATCAGCCTCCCTTGGAGCCTGTGCTCCAGCAGCTGCCTGACTGACTAGATTAGTCCTCCACGTCTGGACCTCAGTCTGTACCTAGCACTGGACACCAACTCCCAGTAGCAGTTCTCAGCACAAGTACCCAATGCTCAGCACTAGCTAAATGCCCTTGGCTGCAGAGTCCACCTCTCTTCCCATAGAACCATAGGCTGTCCTTCTTATCCTGCTGAGCTGCTGGTCCTACAAAAATGCAACAAGAGACCCTGGGACCGTAGGGGCAGAGAGCGGTGGTGTTTACCCTAATCCAGGAGATAAATGAGGATAACACCGAAAAACTAAACTACGTGGGGGCAAAAGCAGGTGAGGATGGCTCTGGAGAGATGGTGAGACCAACTGGGTGCTTTCCTGTCCCCCGGCCAGAAGCTCCTTCCTCCAGGGATCCTTTAGGCACACAGGCTTCTCCAAGAAGTCCCTGACTAATAGTGGGAAACCTCAGACTCTGGGTTTCTGCAGAGCGGGGTGTTTAGCCCCCTCTACCCACTCTATAGTGGCAGGAAGGAGCCAAAGAAGAGGGTATCCTGTGGGAAGGTGCCAGGGGAGAGCCTGCAATGCTGCCTCTTCTTTCTTGATTCCCTTTCCAGCTTGGGTTGGGCTTTGCTAGGCTAGTCCACACCAGGCAGCATGAATTTGCCCGTCACTCTGATGCTCCTATTCCAGTAACCTCCAGCAGTAGACGGCTGTCGTGGCTAGTTCTGCAGTGTGCAGCATTGGCACACTAGTGTCCATTAGGGCTGGGAAATGTACCTTGAGTCCCAGCCAAGATTTCTTGCCAACCAACGGCTCAGAACATGAATGACAGTCAGTGAAGTGCTCAGCATCCTCTTCAACCCCAGTCAGGACTAAGGCATTTTCAGTTGATCCACAGTCTAATCGACCAGGAGTATCCTCTCCTAAGGAAAGAGCTGCCTTTCAAGGTTTAGGGAGAGAAGCTGTTTCCCTGAAGTGTCCTTCTCGCCAATGAGAATCATGGGGCGCGAGTTGGATCTGCTGCGGTGCACAGCACTAGTGTCTTCTGAGTGCACAGGAGTGTGGGTATTTTGTCCTCAAGTGTTTGCTAGCTGCCTGCTCTACTGGGTAAGATAGGAAATGGGGAATCCTATCCATGAAGGGCTCATGGTTAGCAGGCCTGGCATCAAGCGCAAGGCCCAGCCAAGCACCGAGAGCTATTCATTCAGTTCCTGCCCTGGTCTGGAGTTCGTGCGTCTACACCAGCCCTCATCTTTGTAGCTGCTTCAATCAGTGGGTGCCTAGTGGAAAGCTTCCACAGGATTCCACAGACACATCTGCCAATCAGATAAAGGGCTGTTGCTTAGTTTCTACCCAGGGTAGAGCAGTGATACCAGAATAGCAACAGCCACTTTAAAACTGAGGGGTAGGATAAGTGTGGATGGGCACAAAGGGTAACACCAGGTCCCGATGGCATTGCTGAGCCACCCAATCCTCTGCCACCCTGACTCCAGCTGCTTTCCTCTGGATCTCTGGTACTTCATCGTGAGATACCCGTCAAGAGCTTCACCTGCAGCCCAGCTCAGTGGCAACCCCCTTATCCTCTCTGTACGGGAAGCCCTGAGTGTCTACCTGTGTCCCATATAGCTAAGACCAGCAGTAGTCTGGAACTCAATGCAGAAGGGTGGGAGAAACAGCAGAGAAAGCCGTACCGTGAGACAAGATGTTGGGTATTTGCAGCAGACAAAACCGTGAATGAAAGATGGAAAGGACACCTAACTCTTCACATCATGCCACGCTCCTCCTCACTAACACCCTCCAGGCTCGCTCAGCTCCTCACAAATCACATCCTGGACACTTGTCCACCTGTCCCAAGCCAAGGTGCCAGACTTTCACCTGAAATCTTCCTTTTCTCATGCAGTAGGGGCTCCAAGGGTTGTGTCCTGCTCCCGAATCACATCATGGTCTCCAGAGAGGATGCAACAGGTGGCACTAGAATGGAGAACCTCTGGCAAGCAGCAGAACTGGGGCTTGACTGAGCCCAAATAGGCCACTGGAATTGCACACACAGCAGAATCCAGGCACCCACATAGCATCTACAGGAAACACCTGAAACTATCTAGAACTTTGCAACCCAAGGTGAATTTGTCTCTGAACCGAAAGCCTGTGAATTTCAGGACATCACTCACGGTTCCATGGCATTCACACACAAGTCTCGGTTTCTCTGAGCCTCATCTCCAGAATGCACTGTTGCCCAGGCCTGCCTCTGAGGAGGCATTAGGAACATGCCGAAGGGGACACGAGGCTTCAAAGTGGGGGCATGGCCAGGCAATGACGAAGGTGTGTACCATATCCTCATCTAGCCAAATCGCAGACCTACCCCTCTTTGGTCTAGGGTCGTGTGAAGCAACAGACCATAAATGCCTGGACCTGCAACCCTAAGAAGACGCAACCCAGTGAAAGAGCTGTACATCTCTTTCTGGGATATTGTTTTCTTTCCTGTCACCTCATTTCTCTACATCTGGGACTTAATCTGTGTCCTGGGGTCTCTGTCGCATTCTGACTCTTATCTGGAACTCATTCCTCTCCTCTAACCATCTACTTCTGGCTCCATTTTGCTCACAAACATCCTAAGACACCAAAGGTGACATGCACTAGAGAGAGAGGAGCTCAGGGCCCATGACAAGACTGAGAGTGAGCTGGTGAAGCTATTACCAGCTCCACCAAACATCGCGGGAACTACATTCATATCCCCCACAGAATGAATGCAAAACAGATATGGTGTGGTTTTGATGATGTTCAGCCTAGTCTGTGGCTGCTACCCTGTAGCCCTCTGTCTGCTGGTTATCTCCCACACCGGCAGCTTCCACAGCACCCCAAAAAACACACCCCATCGCTGGTGCAGGAGAAACTTTGGGCTGGCATAGAACAAAGAGGGAATCCAGGCTGGCAATTACCCAGCTAATTTCAGCTATGTAGACAGCCAAATCAGATATTTCAGTTTCTTTAAAAGCCCACCTCAGGGCCTGAATTAGCCATCTAATTAATTATCTGTAGCAGCCTGGGATTCTCTGGTATAGCACAGGTCGCTACTGATGCAGGATGCTGGCTTGTCCCTGAATCCTTTCCTGGTGATGTAATCATTATAATTAGATTCAACCTGAGTCTACCTCTGCCATGAACTCTCCGCAAGCACACGGGGTCTACATTTTTATCATGTATGAGAGAAGTCAAAGACACCCTCTGGGTGGGCCTCTCTCTTTGCTAGCCCTGAGGCCCCAACCAGCTTCCTCTCTGTAAGGCCCCTCCCTTCCCCATATCAGCAAAGGATGCCTAGCGCGGTCCAGCTGCGACTCACGTCAGTCAAGAGGTCCTCCTGCAGGCTACAAGGACTCTCCAATAGTAGGACTGGTAAAGTCTTGGCATTGACACCACACAAGGTTGCTGGGGCACCCACAGCAGGCAGCTCTGAACAAACTTGAGGCCCATCTAGGGTGATCTCAAAGTCTACAGGCCTGAGCTGCCCAAACTGCCCATCTGAAGCTCATTCAGGCCAAATGGGAAGCAAACCTTCAGTTCACTGTTTCAGCGCCTCCTGGCCAAGGACTCGGCCCACTGTTCTCTACCAGCTTCTAGTCCTATTGCTGCTGGTTACAAAGATGGCTGTGGACTACATGTGGACAGGACTACCCTTACTCAACAATATAAAGGGGCTATATTTTCTCTGCAGAAGGGGATTTGGTTACATTTGGCTACACAGTTATCTTTTCTTGTCCTTGCGAACAGTATCATCTCTTTACCTATGGGTAAAGCCCATAGGTGCCAATGCCACAGTTACGATCACCCCAATCCTGTTTGCTAACCCAAAGCTGGTGTACCTTTTGTTCCCAGGACTGCCACAGTGAAGGCTGCTCACAAGCCTCCTTGGAGTATCTGCCTTGATTTATGCGGCTCAGCTCTTGATTTGCCTCCGGATGACCAGTGAGCTTTACTGGACCATGGGATGGGAACACATTGCCATCTTACACAGTACATACCCCCCACATCTTGTCTTCAATCCCAAGCCTTGAGTTCCCAGGGGATTCAAAAGTATTGGGCTAGGGCACTGCCCTGGTTTTGTTCAGTTGGTAAGCGAGCATCTGTAGAGGCTGTGTGTGAGGTCAGAGTGGTCATGCAGCAATGTGTTTAAGTGCCACTGCAGTGGTGGAGACATGTCTGTGTATCCATAGTGGCCCAACCAGGTCCCCCTCCCTGCCCACTTCCTACCTCCCAGGGCTTGTTTCATCACGAACTCCATGATGATGGCTTGGTTCCTCAGGAGCCACTCCGGGGTCAGATTTCACATTCAAGTGTGGTCAGAGTCCTCTTCCTAGAGAGAGCAGGTGGTCACAGGTACCCTGACCAGGCTTTCCTCAGACCCTCGTCTACTCCTTCCGCCCTTCTCCAGTACCCCGTGGGGGAGGCTTTGCCCCATAACCAGACCAGGATGGCAGGGTCCAGAGCCTAGTCAAATCAACAGTTATCTTGCTGCTTCTGGGATTTCTGAAGGAAGCGTTTAGCTGCCACTGCAGCTTACAACTTGGGGACATCAGTCACAGGAGTCCAGCACCAGCCTCCTCAAGGGGGGTGGAGCCCAGGGGGCGTTTGAAGGTCAATGCTCCACTGTGGTGCCTAGGTTCTGGCTGCTCAGCTTCCTCGATAGTTCTGGAGCAGTGGGGCAGGGGTCCCTCTGGAGAAAGACTGGAGTGATAAGTCCATAAATGCTGCCCCCCAGGAAAGGTCCTTAGGGCTTCTTACTAGTATCAACTATATCTGTCTGTAGGGAGACTCTGGAGGCCCCCAAAGGGCCCAGAGAAGAACTGTCCCTGGGTTGGGGAGAGAGAGATGGCAGAGTCCCAGTCTTCCAGTGGGAATGGGGGCATATGGCCCCCACCTGCCTCTGCATGGAGTAGGGTGACCCAAGCCAGAATGTACAGCCCGGGCTGAAGTGCCAGCAGCGCTTGGGAAGGTGTTTCTGCAATGCCAACAGCTGCAGAGACAGCCCTCTTTGTAGGGTCTTTTCTACCAGGGAACCTAGTCCCTGGGGATCCAGTGTTTCACAGGCTTCCCTCTGGGGAATAAGACCCCAGGCAAGGATAGTGTCCCAGAAGCTAGGGGTTCAGGGATGCTTTTGCCGCAAAGCCAATTGTCTTCTAAACTTCTGTTTCCAGGGAGTCGGGGGATGGGGGCTCCGCAGGGCCAGCCGCAGAGAGGTTAGGACGCTGCGGAGATTCCGCAAAGACCGAGGCGTCCAGTTCTTTTGCGGCCGCCGCACCCTTTGCTTTGCGGACGGGCGAAGTGCCCGGCCCGAGCGCGGCCTCAGGCCAGAGCGCACCTCTCAAAGGAGAAAAAGACACCGATGGGAGAGGGAACCGAGGGCCGTTTCAGCACCTCGCGCTGGACAGCACCCTTAAGGCTGAGCAACCTTGAGGAATATCCCGGGGCTGAGTGGAACCAAGAAAGAGCCAGGGAACCCGGGAGCTGGGGAGGAGACCCAGGGCTAGAAAGCGGGGAGCCAGGAAGGGAAGCCCAGGAGTCGGGAGGAAGACTGGGCTGGGAAACGGAGAGGAGGGAGCCGGTTAAGGCCGGACCAGCATCAAGGGCGCCGGTTACCTTCCCGGGGCCGACGATCAGCAGCAACGCGCTCTGGGGCCGGCGGGGTCCATGTGGCGCTCTGTGCTGCTGCGGCGGCTGAAGGGCACCGCGAGGAGGGCGCGTCACTCTGAGGCGCCCCCGCCCGCGTCCCGCATGACGAGGAGGGCGGGGCGCAGCGGAAGGGGGGGCAGCCGCGCCCCCGGTCCACAGATCCTGGCCTGGAGCGCGCGACGGCTGCATAGGGGCCCCTCCTTGGTGCCGGCCACTCTTTCCATACCAGCTTGGAGACCCTCGAGAAGTCCTCGCTTGAGAGAACAAGGAGAACGCAGGGTTGGGGTCAGCACCCCTAATCTACCCATCGCGTTTTGCGCCTGACTCGGTTGCCTTCGTCTCTACTCCTTTGCTGGCAGGGCAGGAGGAAGCGAGCAGAGTCCGAGACCCAGTCCGCCCCCCCCCTTCCCCCATCCATAGCGCTGGGTAGGCCCATACATCCAAGCTTGTCCAAGTGTGCAGATCCAAATGTGGCTTTGAATGGACAGAAACTCCAGCCAGCAAGGGACGCCTGAAGGTCACTGCGGACACGGATGGGCGGGGGCTCCTCTGGGACAGCCACAGCCCGCCTCTAGGCCGCCCCTTCCCTGGCGCCAGGATTTCAACCCTGCTGAGCCTGCACGGTAGAAGAGCCTGGTTGCCACAATGTTGGCCTGGCATCCCTGCACGCACCCTGGGGGCTTCTGTGAGGCAATCAGCTCCGCAGAAGCCTGATTATCTGGGGACGCCTAAGCTGTCTGGCTCTGGCTAGCCAAGGGAGACTATCAGCCTACAGGGGCTAGTGCTGATGGACATTGCGTTAACTGTTACTGTTCCTCCTGGCTGAGTCATTCCTCAGGATTAGGTAGCTCTTGACCTCCATCCAATTCAGGGAGATGTCTGGCCTAATGAGTATTCCTCCCTCACCAACTTCCCAAAGTTGCTTCAAGGTGCTTGGCAGCTTGAGCTCACAGGGGTGGCGTCCATCACTGACTTCCTTTCATCAGACCCTGTTCCTTTGACCTGGCAGACAAAGTAGAAGAGACCAGAAAGGGAGCTGAGGTGAAGAGAGGAAGAGTGTCAAGCCCTACGCTTTCAAGACCCCACTTCAGTCTGGGGAGCTTAGAGTTTGGGAACTCAGGGAGCCCCTCCATACGGTCTGTTCCCAATGGTGGAGTGAACTGCACCTAGGCTTATGCCAACGAAGAGGAGACCATTGAGGAAGCTGGACCAGCAAAACTCACACTGAACACAGAGGAGTTTAGTCTCCCAGCGCCCCTCCTGCTGGCGCTGTCCATCTCAGTTCACCCTCTTGGTAAGGTTGGTTGACGCCCCAGGTCTTGTGTATGCCCAGGACTGGTGCCCAGTCTGGCGCCGTCTGTGTTTTCAGTCTAGGGTAGCTAACAAAATCAAGGACCGGAGTAAGACAGACCCATCATTTCTCACTGGCTTTTCCTCTCTCCACTACTCCATTAGATGGACCTGACCCTCTGGCAGCAGTCCTGTAGAAGATCCCAGGTTGATCTCCTGAGCCAGAGCAGGCCAAGCTCATCCATTTACTACCCATAGCCCCAAGACTGACTGACTGACTAACAACTAACTAAAGGACCCTAGGACTTTCAAATTTCTACTTCATCTCTGTTTCTCTCTGGCTGTCTCTATCTCAGTATATCATCTTTATATCTGTAGCTCTTGTCTTTATGTCTCTGTGTATCTCTTTGTCTCTCTGTCCTAGCTTTTCCTTTTGTGACTGTATGGGTACTTTGTCTGCCTGTCTGTACACCACATGTGCATCTGGTGCCCATAGGGGCCAGAAGAGCGTGCTGGGACTGGAGTTACAAATTGTGGTGAATACCATGTGGGCACTGGGAATCAAACCTGGGTCCTCTGAAAGTCCTGTCAGTGCCCTCAACTATTGACTTATCTCTCTAGCTCTCTAGTTTAATTTTGTATATGTGGGTTTTTTTTGTTGTTTTTTTGAGGCTGGCTTTGAACTTGATATCTAGTCAATAGATGACTTTATACTCCTGTCACCACCTCTGAAGTTCTGAGAGTATAGTACACTGC